ACAGGAATTGCAAAGAGGAAGAAAAAGTAGAGCATGCATGACAATGGAAAAGAACAATCTTTAAACGGTTGACTTAAAAAATGAGACAAAAATTATGCTTTGGAGTATCAAAGACTTTTAAATCTGTGACCCAAGCTATATGGTCCAGCTATTCTCATAAGAAAGCTGTCAGCACATATATTAAAGGCTTAGAAAGAAATTCTAAACATACAAATCGAAGGCCTCTATCATGTTATTAATCTTATAATAACTTTTAGATTAAAATCAATGTGTTCTTGCTTTATTGGCTACCTCTTAATTACTTTCTTTAAAAAAGGTCTTGCAAAAGTTTATAAATCTCTCTTTTTATTTGTGCAAGATGATCCACTTTTTCCTTAGTTTGGTTTTACGTTGGCCCGAACTCTCCACTTGTAATTTACTATTTGACAGTGAATTCTTCCTTGTCCAGGGTTTTTCATGTAAAATTTGTGTTCTTTCTTTCGTTTATTTTATTATTTGTTGTATCGAATTTATAATAAAGTCAATTAGAAACTTAGAATAAAAACCAACAAGTAAAAACTTCTCCTTCATAATTCACTAAAAGAAAATGATGGTCGCGTTTTGCAGACATTAGAGGAGCAAAAAATATACTATCTGCACTATACGCTAAAAAAACACAGCCGATCAACAAATCCTACCTTTTAGTATTGAACAACTAATCAATCATTCAGAAACAAAAATAATCATATTGAATGAGAGCCAATGAAGTTAAAAAAAAAGGGTTATGATGCGGGGTTTTTGAAGGCAGACCCGGGAGTGGGAAGACCGACCGAACTAGCTTGTTGAATGGTCAGTTAAACCGGCTAGGTAGATCCCGGTCCAGTCCCTATTTGGCCGACCGGCTTCAGGGAATGAAGATACCATGCCTGCTCTCTCCCTTGCGTCTATTTATCGCCATCTCTCCTTTCTTATTTATTGTCGCCCAAAGGGGAAACCTTCCCTTCCTATTTTATCTATTAGCGATTATATATGTGTTATTTTTGCTCGTTAGGATTATGTTTTGTGTGATTGATGTTTTTGGATTTCTCTTTGGAGTCCTCTTCTCCCATGCTACGGTTTTATTCGACGACTTATGGTGCTTCGGCTATATCCTGCTCCGAAGTGGTGTTGTATCCTCTCCTATTATCTTCCCTAACCCCTCTCCTCAACTTCCCATAGTCGTCGGCCTCCTCACCTCATCCCAACTGCTCTGTCGCCCCTTCCTCATATTGCAGCCCTGCTGTCCAGACCTCCAATCCGCACACCC